GATATTGTGCTACAGGTTTGTGTGAGGATACGGTCACAGCCAAGTTTCATTTTCCTTGCTGCAGATCACCTCAAACTTAGAGACGGTCTGTACCTTCGAGCCTTCTGTGCTGGTCTGGACAAAGTGTTGGATCCGTATAGGAAAGAGTTACTTCGGCTCGAACAGGAGGTAAGAGACAATTTTGCACTGCTGTTTTTTGATTGGGTTAATATTGGGAATCAAATTAAAGAAACATGACCTGCCCGTTCAAATTCTGTGTAATAAATTTGTTTAACACTTGTATTAGTCACAAACTATGGAGGCAAACGGGGAATCAACCAAGAGGGTATTGTATGATTTTGATATTCTTTTGTGTTGTTGCATAAGATTGCAAAGAAATTGTTTTTCCGACCCCATTACACTTGTACGTATGACGTACATGTAAGTACATTTGAACAAAGACTTTGCTCTAAATACTTTTTATTAGCCTGAATTCTACAAGAACTTGAAGTGGTGATATGATGCTTTGGACTGGATGTTTTTCAGATCCTGTTAGACCCACACTTGACACCATGCCACATCCAGGAGGTGCTAGAGCCATATCAGCTGCTGTTCCCCGACCTGTGGGCAGTTATAGAGCAGATCCGGTACCAGAGGGGACATGGAGGCCACATCCTGGAGATAGTGCACCAACACTGTAATTGCGGCAAGCCAATGGTGAAAGATGCATTTCAGAAGTATGTTTCTCTAGGAAGATTGCATTTTTTAAAGACTAGTTGTTAATTGTCATTGTAGAAATGGCATATTTTTGATTCGGTACAAGAAAACAAGATTCAAGTCATAATATAATCACTACATTTATGACACTACGAACTTATTTTGAAACCGCCAAGATCATCTTAGCTCACCTCACCTCTTGCTCTGCTCTTCTCAAAGAGTTTAAAATTTCAAACCTTCATTTTTGGAATGTACTCTGCATTATTTGGCGCAGGTAGCACTTAGGAATCAGTTTCAACATTTGAAAATGATGAGAAAAATGTTGGCAGGTTGTGGAAGAAAGAATGTGAGAGTTATAGGATCCCGCTTCCTGCGCAGGATTCTGTTTGTGTGCCACTGCGTCCTGTACCGTCAAGTCACTGCCTGGCTGCTTCACGGCATGCTCCTGGACAGACACAGTGAATTCTTCATCCATAAGTCGGCCGTTTCCAGCCTGGTTGAGAGACAGTATGACGATGATGATCTTGGTATTGGTGGGGTGACTGGAAGACAGATGAGGGAGGTCATGGTAAGATGTGCGCTTTATTCCTGCATGACTTGCATTGTAGTCTGTTTGAGCCGTCAGGTTGACGTAGAAGTTAATGTCCTTCTAGTGGGGTGCTTTGGGTACCTCAGGTCACAAGTTAAAGCTATGGTTGGAGTGAGTTGGTAGAGGCAGATCCACCGATTACAGGACTTGTTCTCTTGAAATTATTGGTTCTTCTATGTCATATGGGATCTGAATGATAATTTAAGTCTTTATTATGGCTCACCCAGCCTTCTTAGAAGGTAGATCCCAATGTTCATTGCTGTTTATGGGGCTTGATGCCCATTTAAAGGCGGACCATGAAGAATTGGCCTTGACTCCTCCCTGTACATGTACATTGGTGGCATTTTGGAGGATTTAGGAAATATGAGCCAGTTCAGTGTCTCAGCAAGGCAAGGGTATTTGAGAAATGGGCATGTCAGTTTGAATATGTTCTGTCAGTGTGCGATGTACGTGAGGGATGTACAGCGTGCTTCATGATGGACATGTGCTGTTTAAATACACAACTTGCTCATTCCTTGTAGGAATGCCAAGAGCACTCAGATAATCAAGACTAAATAATCACTAAGAATGCCGAAAAAATGAACATTTATCCAAGGTTTCATTTTTCTGTGGCCCTGTGCGGTGCATAAGGTTTACCAATATTGATTTCACTTTGATCATTGAAGTGTTGACATCTCTGACTTTCTGGGAATTATTTTTCAGCAACTGAATGAAGACGGAAGACTTCCAGAGCGGCCAGCCCACACCCTGTACGCCATCAGGCCCGCCATGCTGCCTAGCTACATCCCAGTACGAGTGGCTGAGAAGATCCTCTTTGTCGGGGAATCGGTTCAGATGTTTGAGAATCGAAAGCAGACTGTGGCTTCTAAATACACAGGTCAGATTTTGGTTCGCTGCAATAGAGAGTACAAGCAAATGGAGTGGTTTTTGCTGTAAAAGAGTAGTAATATAAGGAAGGAGCATCTGTGATTAAAACACTCTGAAACAGTGTAGGTGAAGATGATTCTTTTGTTTTGGGCATTTTAATGAAAGTTGATAGGAAATAAAAGAACAGTAATTAAAAGCGACATCTATTTATTAGCCCTAACCCCCTGGCATATGATCTGGGGTACGAGACTCAACACTACAGCATAC